GCAATACACACCAAACTGAGCATGTGCAGTTTGCCCCAAGGCACTGTTCTATCAGGAGATGGACTGGGGATAGTAGAAGAAGGGGGGGGATGCATTATGTTCAAAAGAGGTATGACAACATGCCGTGGACATAATGAGGTTGATTTGCTTAAGGCAAATAGGCTGTTTTTTGCAAGAGAATTTTCTGTTAGCTTAGTGAATGAGGTGAAGCTCTGCTGACTTATATTATCCAATTGTCTGCAAGCAAAAATAACCAATGGCCTCTAAAATCTTTTCTCCAGGAGTATCCAATATATGGCATTCTGACAAGACTGATAAGTTATCCTTTTAGCTGTGTGCCTGATATTATTCTCTTTGGTCAGACTGACTGAAAAAAGTAACTATGACTCATTACTGAACATATTTTTTTGGGCTTTAATATATTCTGCCTCAAGTCAACCATTTTTGTATTGTTGTCAGGGGTATCACTTCATGGTTAAGTGTCCTATAAAGCAAACATACAAACAGAGCTGTGCTATAGGCTAAAAATACAAAAAAATTTAAATAAAAAAAGGCGCCAGTACAAAATGTGATATGTAATGTCACCAAAATATAAAAGAAATTTGTGAAAACAAAACTAAATATACGATAAAAAAGTGCAATTAATTTCCAAAACAAACTGATATAATAAAATGGTTACAAACACTCACATTGTATAAGAAGAGAACAGCAATATCCAAATGTGTAATGAAGATCCCAATCGGTAATGTGCATTGTGCATAGTGATGCCAGTGCGTCTGGCTCTGCTCTTACTAACGCGTTTCATCAAATTGTGACATCATAATTTGATGAAATGTGTTGGGATGGAGCCAGATGTATTGCCATCAGTATGCATGACGCACATTACCGATCAGGATTACATGTTTGAATAGGGCTGCTCTCATCTAAATGTCAATGTCAATGTCAGTGCTTTTAACTATTTTAATAATTTATTTTTACACAACTGGAGCATTCCGCTGTTTTTCTCTGCACATATATTATTGTTCTGAAGACAATCTGCTTACAAAGTGCTGGAGTGTCAAGCACCACCTGGCGGAATCTCTAGCAACCCACAGCACGGGGTTCCTCAGGGCGTGGGGTCTAAGTCCCAATCTGCTTATTCACCAGGGCCCCTGATGGTGGGGATGGACTTGGAGCAGACTGAGACCAGGTCGCGACGCCCGAGTACGTCCGGCAGTGGTAGAGAGCACCGTCAGGGGTCTGTGGGAAATAGAGCCTGACGTGAAGAGGCTGGCAGGCCTGGTAACAGGGACAGATCCGTGTGGGATGGATGGATGGATCATCAGGGTAGCATAAGGAGTAGTCAGGCAGGCCAGGTCAGCAACGTGCGGGGCAGCGAGGTACCAGAGGAGTAGGCAGAGAATGGTCAGGGTCACGAGCCGGGTTCAGCAACTAACGGGCAGCGTGGTACAGAGGATCAGGCAGAAGAATGGTCGGGTCAAGCCAGGGGTCAAGCAGGAGACAATCAGCAGGGTCAGGATCAAATGCAGAGGTCGGCAACAGAAAGCTTCACAGGATCAGAATACAGGAACAGGACAATAAGACCAAACGGCAACTTGTGTCTGTGCAGGGCTGGTTTAAATAGCCCGCCCGGCACTGACAGGTCCGCCTGGGTCCTAGTGCTTGCCAGCGCCGTCATAGGTGACAGGCACACCTGGGTCCTAGTGCCCGCCTGCCTGCATGTCTTGTCAGACACCTACGCATGTGCAGACTCGTGCGTCGCAGTGATCCCTGACATGGAGACTTTGGTGGATGCAGACATGTGTTACAGAACATGTGCGATTCATGATCACTCAGATATTGGGGGTCACCCTTCTCTGGTGAGCGTTCGTTTGCACACTGTGGTGTTGTGCAGGAATTTTCACATGCATTTTATTGTATGTTTATGATTCTTGGATTGTTGCACTACTGATAGACACTTATTGGGAAACTTTGGACTGCTTATGAGTTTATTTTTATTCCTTTTGGGGGAATATCACCAGCACTTATCACAATGCGTGACACATATTGCTTTTTGCTGTAAAGCAGATTACTTTGTCATATATTTTGTTAGTCACAGATTATTTAGCGTCCTATAAGTAACTTTGGATCTGAACTTGGCTAATCTCATTCATCAACTCATTTGATAAACATACCTGGACGAAGAAGCATTTGTTGTTTTACCCATTACGATTGCAACTTTACAATTGGGATTTCCAGCACCTGCAAAATTGTAAAAATTTATGGTTGAAAAAGTAACTAAAAACATTAGGAATCTGTATTATCAATATACTGATATTTAACTCCAAAATAATTTTTTTTGGTTCAACACTGCTAGATATTTTGCATCTTCTAGAGATTCATAGTAGCAATTCCACCAGCTACAATAATGTCCAAAGTACCATAGCTATTAGTAACAAATCAAATTTAGGTACTTCCTTTTTGTTGTGAGAGCTGTCTGTCTGCTGACCATCTTTTTCCCATAACCTTCTGGATTTCCTGCATGCTTTGCAGCTTCTCCTCTGCAGTGTACTTTCAATTTCTAAGGACTACATATCCCACGGTCCCTTGCTACCCGCAAGCAGTGAATCCTGTACTGACTCCTCCTCCTGAAACTCCTCCTCTCAGCATCTCTTGAGTTGAGAAGGAAGGCTCTGTGAAATGTGTGACACAGCAGTGCCTATTCACAAGGCATATTGATTTTGTGTCATAGAATTCAAGGAAGTAAATGTGTGAAATTCTTAAAAAAAAGTAAGCTTTCAAACGTCAAGAACGTTAAAATACATAGGAGCAGGTTGGAAAAAAAGTAAAAATCAAATGTGTAAATTAAAACATTGTAATATAGGATTTTAAATATTGACCATAGATACTCTTTAATGGTGTGAAATGCAGTAACCCATAGGAAACCAACCACAGCTGCTATATCACCAGCATACAGCAAAAACAGCCACCTGTGGCATAGCCAATATTATGTTTGTACATTTACTAGGAACTTACTTAAATTGCTAAAATTGCAAATAATAATTAAAAAAAAGTCAACTGATACATTCTTAGGTTGTTCTCTTCTGGCATAAAATATTTGTCCCTGCCTGCTAGCTGTTTTTTCTAATTTTACACCAACAGCTGCGCATGTCCCGGGTGGAAATGCTGGAATTAATTAACTGAGTTGTGTAAAAAGGTATGTTTACAGAATTACTTGCAGAAAAAGTGTCACATAATACCCCCAGTTTTTGCCTGGAGATAGCAGTATGTCACAATGGACCTGATGCCTTAAAAATATAAAAGATAAGCAGTACCCCACAACCATTTTTCCCATGGGATTGCCTTTCTGTGCATATTTTTTAAATTATTGGAAAAAATCAGCAATACTACATTCTAATTTGCTGTTCTTTTTAAGTGCATATAATTATCGTAATAAAACAAAATGTTCTTAGTTGTACAAAATACAGACTGATTAATATGGAATGCATCTCTAGTGGTACATTTCAACAATAAATAGGAAATAAAAATATTTAATAAATCTTTTATTCTGGCCGAGCTATAATTTTAGAACTCAGTGATGTGAAAGGTATCTTCTAGAACTCACCTCCCTAGAGCTGCTTTCACCGTTCAAGGGACACTATCAATTTGTGCATTCATACCTGGCTGGAAATCCGAGTGCCAGATAAAATTAAAGTTTTATTGTATGTATGTAATTTTTTTAAAAATTTCCTTACCTAAAACAAACAGCAAAAAACATTAAAAGGTTTCAGCTGGATTCTGCTATGTGTGTCATACGGACCTGACAGCGTGAGGGCGGGGGGAAGGTTACACACAATCTGGTGGCTGCTGCCACTGGGATTGTGTGTAAAACTAACAGGCAGACCCCTGCCTGTCAGGTGGAAGTAGTAGATTGACTGCTCCTATATGATGAAAAAAAAAAAAAGTTACATCCAAGCACATAACATCCCCCCCAAAAAAAGAAAAATTAAGCCCACCCCCACATATACACACGTATGAATGTAAAACACGCTTGTAAACGTCAATAGCAATAATTCTAGAACAACTCCGAAACACTAAACTGATAACCTGTAGGGGCTTTTGAAGAGTCGCCTACCGAAAATATAGGGTACTGAAGTTTGTCGCCATTTCACGGGTACACACAAATTTAAGGTTTGACATGTTGGGTGTCTCTTTACTCGGTGCAACCTCATCTTTTATATTTTACCAAACATTTGGGTAATTCATGGAGTTTGCCTTAAAATTTACTTTAGTGTGTTTTTTACTCAGAGGCAAGTCCTCGAAACGCGTCAACCTACTGGATGTCTACACTCCCTATTGCGGACTGTTACTCAGTGCGGTGTTGACCCAGCTGTTCTTTTATGATGTGCCTTGACTTTATTGTCGTTTGTGAGTACAACACCTACTTTATTTCTTATGAAACATTTTTTATGGTAATGCACTAGGCCTGTGCGCCCTCTGTTTGTTCTTTCCTCGTTCAGTATATTTGGACTCCCCCGGTCTATTTGAGGGCAGCAAGGTGTGCATGTTCCAGGACATTCTTAATGTGGTTGTAGCCTGCATCGAGTCCATCCCCAAGCGCAGGAGCATTTGTGTTTGCTGGTTCTTTGTTCACTTATACCCCCTTCCAGTCCAGACCAATCTCCAGCTTTCAGCGTTGTTGCACTTTGAATGACAATTGCGCGGTCATGCAACACTGTACCCATATGAAATTTTTATCTATTTTTGTGACAGATAGAGCTTTATTTTGGTGGTATTTAATCACCTATGAGTTTTTTATTTTTTTCTTAAACAAACCAAAAACCACTGAAAATTTTGAAAAAAACAAAAACGTTTTTTCTTAGTTTTTGTTATAAAATTTTGTAAATAAGTAATTTTTCTCCTTCACTGATGTGCGCTAATGAGGCTGCAGTGATGGGCACTGATAGGCTGCACTGATGGACACTGATAGGTGGCACTGATGAGGAGGCACTGGTAGGTGGCACTGATGGGCATTGACAGGCATCACTGATGGGCACTAAAAGGCAGCACTCATATGGCACTGATAGGTGGCACTGATTGGCAGCACTGATAGGTGGCACTGACTGGCATTGATAGGTGGCACTGATGGGTGACACTGAAAGGCAGCTCAGATGGGCACTGATATGTGGCACTGCTGGGGCTACACAGATCATCAGGGCACACTGATCATCAGTGCCCTGATGATCAGTGTACATGTCCCTTCTGAGGGATGCCGATTACCGGCTCTCCTCCCGAGCTGTCAGCGTGACAGCTCGTGAGGAGAGAAATGCCGATAACCAGCATTTCCCTATTTAAATGCGATCAGCTGTGATTGGACACAGCTGATCACATGACCAAGCTGACATCTTCGGCTCTTTCCGTTGATCCGCTGTGTCCGAGGGACACAGCGCATCGCCACGCGCTCCCGGAGCCGCACATGTGCGGTTAGAATGGGAGGACGTCCTCCCAGAACGAGAGAACCGCCTTGCGCCCATCATTGTACTATATGGCAGGCGGGAGGCGGTTAAGGTTAGCACAAAGGACAAGAGGGCACTCTTTACGTCTGGAGGAAAAGAGATTTAGTCTCCGAATAATTAAAGGCTTCTCCACAGTAAGAACTGTGAAAACATGGAATAGACTTCCTAAAGAGCTGGTTCTGGCCAGCTCAGTTGATGTTTTAAGAAAGGTCTGTATTATTATACAGGATTTATATAGCGCCAACAGTTTGCTCAGTGCTTTACAATATAAAGGGAGATAATACAGCAACGATACAGTTCAATACAAGAGGGCTAGGACGGCCTGCTCCTTGGAATTTACAATCTAAGAGATTATTTCCTAAACGCACAAAATAAAACTGGACACTAATATTTATAGGTAAAGTTGATCCAGGGAATATTCGATTGCCTCTTGGTGGATTACAATGGAATTTTGTTCCCCAGCTGGAGCAAAGTGGGTCATACTTTATTGGGTTTTTTGCCTTCCTCTGGATCAACTGTGGGTATAGGATAGTGTCAAGGATTCCGTTAAAAACGATCACCCTGTCACGTGTCCACCACACGCCACGCCCACAGCGACTAGCTAACCGTGACGCACGCGTGCGGCCGTGACAGGGTGGTAAAGAGGGGATAATAAAGGAATTTACACTAGAATATCTCAAACCGTATATAAGATCAGCCGTGATACCTTTTCACAGCCCGCACTACCTCTGGCCACCACCAGATGGAGACTCCACTCCAATCCAGCTGGTTGACCACACACTGGCAGATACGATCTTACATACAACCTGGTGCCCTGATTAGGGTTGAGGACCAGCTTAGTAAACACACACCCTTCTAAAGGTCCCTTCAGCTATCCTAGCTTGAACCCCGGTGTTGATAACCCTTCCACTGTCCACACACCCCCACACCAGACGCACCACAAAGGTAGCCTGCCACCACCCAACAGTTTATCGCAGAATGGTCTGTTGAGACACCACACACACACAGATCTCCGTCTGGCAGATCTGTTACCTTTGCAGCGTGCATCTGCCCACTGTTTGCATACAGATTTTGCAATCTGCGTTTTAAAGCAATACAATACAATATAACCCAATCTAATCTCTCCAATCTAGTCTCACCGATCTAGTCTCACCGATCTAGTCTCTCCGAAGATATGATCACGTGCTTAAGTACACAGAAGTTCACTAATTAATTTTAAGATTTAATTTCCCAAAGTGGGCAGTGCATAAAATATGTACAAAAGATAAAAGGTTACAGCAAATACAAAGATATAAGAAGACACACAAATGACTAATTACTATAAAATAAAAGGGAATAAAAAGACATAATAACACTTTACTCTGCGGCTGGAGCAAGCCAGAAACTTGGCAATCCGCTAGTCAATCGAACCAGCTCCGTATGAATCACCCTGTCCAAATGTCCGTGCGTTCAATTTATGGCGATTTGGACATGGACGGGACATTAGTCTTCGGCCAATTGACTCTGGGGGAGGTAGGTCCTGACCTGCCCACAAGAGGTACTGTGTATGGACCTGCCCAAGTTCAATTGGGCCGAGACTGGCCTGAACACCAAGTCGGGGATTGGATTTCTGACACCAGCGTGTCAGCCCGATCGCAACAGTACCAAACACCATCCGACTGTCGCACCCCCGCGTCATCTAACCATTCCATGCATTTCCCTGGCTTCCTCCCCAAGCCACAAATATGATTCTTATATGTAAATGTAGCGCACAGAATGGCCTGCACAAAGGAAGCTTGTTCATATCTCTCCAACTAATATTTTGGCTTTTATGAGAGATTAAACGTACTTCTTTGATGTGAATATTACTTATAGAGCTTTCCACAAAAGGCAGACAGTCTGTCTGCTGTCACTGGTTTTCCTCAGAAGGTGATGATAACCTGATTGACACACAAAAGTTGTCACCTCCAAGAACCTGGCTTTAGACTAATTGATGCTAAATGATGATTGGGTCTGTAAGGCCTATTGAGGAATTGTGTATACATACACATCTGTATCCCAGATCAATTGTTTGTACCTTTTATTCATTTCCCTACTGCCCAGGGGCTCAATGTACATCCTTAATGACCAGACTGTTCCTGCACACACCTTTGCAATGAAAGGGCCTGACATAATCTAATCTACTCAACCTGTCATGGCTATGATACCATATTTCCACTCAAATCTTACATGTCCGTTACAATAAATTTTACATGTCCGTTACAGATAGTGTATATGGAGGTTTTCTATTCGTGTGTGTTGTTGCCTCTTGTTTTTTTCTCTCTGTTGGTTGAAATGGATGTCTTTTTTCAACCAGATTAACTATGTAACAAGAAGTGATAGGTGAAATCAGTTCAATGAATGCCTAAATGTGGTCCACTGTTGATGCTCTCAATGATTAGAGTAAGACTGAATGTTGAAGACCAGCCTTTCTCAACTGGGGTGCCATCTGGGTACAACAGGGGTGTTGTTGTTTTAGTGCATATGCGGCTTCACAGAATGTGCCATGAGTCTTTAAGTTTCAAATTTCTTTGGGCTCAGATGAAAATGATTGTTACTTTGTTGAAATTTGGCGATCCTTTCCCCGAAGTGTTAACTTTGTTAATTTAACCTTTGGGCACTTAGCATGAAGTATGCGATACAGCAGCTTTGTGCAACATGTCGCGTGTCCTTTACCATGTAGCCAGGGGAAAACATACTTTGTGCACAATTCACAATCGTGATTTTGGCATTTAGCAGTAAACTCATGGAAGCATCATTTGTTAGTGTTACCCAAATACCTACAGCTGTGGCCTAAAGTTTTGAGAATTGCACAAATATTAATTTTCACAAAGTCTGCTGCCTCAGTTTTTATGATGACAATTTGCATATACTGAATGTTATGAAGAGTGATCACAAATTGCAATTATTGCAAAGTTTCTCTTTGCCATGAAAATTAACTTAATCCCCCCAAAAAAAAATTCCACTGCATTTCAGCCCTGCCACAAAAGGATCAGTTTACATCATGTCAGTGATTCTCTCATTAACACAGGTGTCAGGGTTGATGAGGACAAGGCTGGAGATTACTCTGTCATGCTGATTGAGTTAGAATAACAGACTGAAAGCTTTAAAAGGAGAGTGGTGCTTGAAATCATTGTTCTTCCTCTGCTAACCATGCTTGCCTGCAAGGAAACATGTGCAGTCATTACTGCTTTGCACAAAAAGGGATTCACAAACAAGGATTTTGCTGCTGCTAAGATTTCACCTAGATCAACCATTTATCAGATCATCAAGAACTTTAAGAAGAGAGGTTCAATTGTTATGAAGAAGGCTTCAGGGTGCCCAAGAAAGTTCAGCAAGCACCAGAACTGTCTCCTAAAGTTGATTCAGTTGCAGGATCGGGGCACCACCAGTGCAAAAAACTTGCTCAGGAACGGCAACAGGCAGGTGTTAATGCATCTGCACACATAGTGAGGCGAAAAATGTTTGGACGATGGCCTGGTATCAAGAAGGGCAGCAAAGAAGACACTTTTCTCCAGGAAAAACATCAGGGACAGACTGGTATTCTGCAAACGGTAAAGGGATTGGACTGCTGAAGACTGGGGTAAAGTCATTTTCTCTGATGAAGCCCCTTTCTGATTGTTTGGGGCTTCAGGAAAAACCTTGTCCGAAGAAGAAAAGGTGAGTGCTACCATAAGTCCTGTGTCATGCCAACAGTAAAGCATCCTAAGACCATTCATGTTTGAGGTTGCTTCTCAGCCAAGGGAATGGGCTCACTCACAATTTTGCCTAAGAACACAGCCATGAATAAAGAATGGTACAAAAACATCCTTCAAGAGCAACTTCTCCCAACCATCCAAGAACAGTTTGGTGACCTTTTCCAGCATGATGGAGCACCTTGCCATAATGCAAAAGTGATAACTAAGTGGCCTGGGGAACAAAACATCAACATTTTTGGTCCATGGTCAGGAAACTCCCTAGACCTTAACCCCATTGAGAACTTGTAGTCAATCCTCAAGAGGCGGGTGAACAAAAATCCCCCCACAAATTCTGACAATCTCCAAGCTTTGATTATGCAAGAATGGGCTGCCATCAGTTGGGATGTGACCCAGAAGTTGATTGACAGCATGCCAGGGGGAACTGCAGAGGTCTTGAAAAAAGAAGGGTCAACACTGCAAATATTGACTCTTTGCATAAACCTAATGTAATTGTCAATAATAGCCTTTAACACTTATGAAATGCTTGTAATTATACTTCAGTATACCATATTAACAGCTGGCAAAAAGATCTAAAAACACTGAAGCAGCAGACTTTGTGAAAATTAAACTCTCAAAACTTTTGGCCAGGGCTGCACATAGTAAACTTGATGCAGAGTTACTTGAGGGCAAACATGAAAATAATTCATCAGAAGTTATAAATCTGGGTGTTTCCCAATGGGATGCTCATCTGGTTTCCTGGCTGTCTTGTCAGCAAAGCACAATTATTTTTTTCTCTGTGATTCCATTTGTCAGTCACACTTTGGAACTAGATGTTACTGGTGATTTTAATGGAAGAAAAGGAAAATTGTGTTATTTTCTATCCTGGATCCTAAGATAAACTACACCATACCTGGAAAAAAGCTGCCAGCATAGAACACATTATTTTAACTAGTACAGCATAGGCTAGTAAAAATAAACTATATGTTATAATGAAGAGTTACAACTTTCAGTACATGTATATTTTTAAGGGAAAGCCATTACAGTAAAAATTGTATATAAAGTATAGTTTTGTGTTTTATAATTTAAAAAATATTTAATATATATTTAAAAAATAATTTTTACTAAAGTATATTCAAAGTATCTGATGGAAAAAAAGAAAAAGGTATACAAGGTTTACAGTAGATGTATTGTTGAATAAACACAGATTCCCTTCCACTTTTTATTATTCAGGTTCTCTTTAGAAAGTAAATTGGAACCATTTATCT